CACACACACACACACAGATATATATAAATAAATAGATAATAAATAAAATCAATATAAATTTACATACACACACACACACACACACACACACACACACACCACAACACACACACACACACACACACACACACATATATATATATATATATATATATATATATATATATATATATATTATATATATATATATATATATATATATATATATATATATATATATTATATATATATATATATATATATATATATATATATATAATATATATATAATATTAATAACGAGATTGATAATAATGAATATTCATGGCATTATGAAAATGATTAAGTGATATTTGTGATATCAAGCTACAGTACCGTAAGAAAATCACACTTTTTCAGAACTATCGTCTTTACAAACTTTATTTTCATTTCTTATAAAGTGTATATATTGGATTAAGATTAAATGTACTAACTTTTAGCAAGGTCTGAAATTTCTTAACTTCAAGACTCCAAGTTTTACAAGTTTATTAGTTTTGAAGATCGTCTTAGACCTTAAGTGCCCCCTGGTATCGCATTCTCTTGTGCTATTAATAAGGAAGAAAAGTCGACAATAGCAGGTTCATTTTTTTCTGCCTATCTGCCTATCTATCTGTCTTTCTGTCTCTGTCTATTTGTTTGTGTGTCTCCCTGTCTGTCTCTTTATATGTATCTTTCTATCTGTCTGTCTGTCTATCTGTGTATCTATCTATTTATCTATTTATTTATCTATCTATCTATCTATCTATCTATCTATCTGTCTGTCTATCTATCCATCTATCATCTATCTTTTATTTATCTATTTCATAGTAATAATATGATAATAATGATAATAATATAATAATATTAATAATATAATAATATAATATAAATAATAATAATAATAATAATAAGAAGAAGAAGAAGAGAAGAATTATATAAGTAATGATAATGATAATTTTGTAATAGTAATGATTATGATTATAGTTATAATCTTAATAAGCACAATGATAAATGACAATGATGATAATGATAATAAGTATGATAATAACAATGATAACGATAACAAAGGTGATAATGATAATGATAACAGTAATAACAATAGTGATAATTTTAATAATTAGTAATAATGGTGATGAAGATTATTGTAATCACAGTGATAATGACGATGATAATGATGACTAATAATGATAATAATGATAATAATGATGGTAATAATATAAATGAAATAATAATAACAATAATATAATGGTGATGATGATGATGAGATGATGATGATGATGATGACGATGATGATTAATATGAAATTATCTTGTCATAGACGAGAGGCTACTGATAATTAACAAAACAAATAACTGATGGTTGTGGATAAACAATACGAAATGTTACATATCCAAATTTCCGAGTCCTTCAGATTAATAATATCAGATCATATATCAGATCATATTGCACTTGTTTCAGCGGCCTCATGAATGAATAAATAAGCCGTTTGAAATACTGAGATCCATCATGAATTAATTAACAGGCAGGGAGGGTCATTAAGTATTGGCGGACTTATTTGAGGCTTTGCTCGTTGGTTTTCCTCCGATTTCTTGAATTAAATAATCCATAATCCAGGCTGTTGGTTTGGGCTTCAGTGATGTTATAGTTTCATATTCATTTGATATTGTCTTTATATGGTTTTCGTTGTTTTGTTACCTCGGCTGAGGAGATAATAAGAATGGCAGTGTTTGTTAGTTTTTTTGTGTGTGTTTGTTTGTTGGTTAGTTTGAAGGATATGTTTTAAGATTACGAATACTTTTTTTTTTTTTATTTATTATTATTCATTTTTTATTTTTATTTATTCTTTTATCAGAGGTGTGTCCTAGCCTCCGGATCTAAGATTTTAGCACCATTATTTTTTTCTTTTCAATATTTAATTCAGTAATTTACTTTTTGTTTATCTTTTTATCTTCCCATAATTTCAATGTATTTATTACTATTTCATGAATCTAATAACTGACATTGTTTTTTTTTTTTTCTTCATTATTTCGTTGAATTATAGAATGCAAAAAAATAAAAAATAAAATAAAAAAATAGATAAAAGTGATATTATTGAAAACGCAGGTCCAACGATCAACAAGTTTATTAACTTTGTTTGATCTAATAATCAACTCCACATTCTGATTAATATATATGAAAATCATTCAGATTAGCATCCAGCATTCAGGCGATATAATAAAACAGGTATTTTGTGGTAAAATAAATGAATAAACACTGAAGGTACTCACAGCTTACTCACATAATAGAGAACTTAACATTCACTAGAGAGAGAGAGAGAGAGAGAGAGAGAGAGAGAGAGAGAGAGAGAGAGAGAGAGAGAGAGAGAGAGAGAGAGAGAGAGAGAGAGAGAGAGAGAGAGAGAGAGAGAGAAGAGAAAGAGAAGGAGAAAGAGAAAGAAGGAGAATAGAAAGAGAGAGAGAGAGTGAGTGAGAGAGAGGAGAGAGAGAGAGAGAGAGAGAGAGAG